TAGAAGGAAAGTATCTCAACACAATAAAAGCCATATACAACCAACATACCAACAATATCGTCAAAAGCTTTCAGCTTTTCCCTTAAGAACAGGAACCAGACAAGGATGCCCCATTTCTCCAGTACTATTTAACATAGTATTAGAAGTAGTAGCCAGAGCAATCAGGCAAGGAGAAATAAAAGGCATCCAGATTGGAAAAGGTGAAATCAAACTGTCCTTCTTTGCAGATGACATGATCCTATATATAGAAAAACCTAAAGACTCAACCAAAAAACTCTTAGAGCTGATCAACAATTTTAGTAATGTTGCAGAATAAAAAATCAACACCCAAAAATCAGTAGTGTTTTTATTCTCCAGTAATGAAATAGCAGAAAAAGAAATCAAGAAAGCAAGCCCATTTACAATAGTCATCAAAAAAATAAAATAACCTAGGAATCAATTTAACCAAGGAAGTGAAAGAAAATAGTATGGAGGTTTCTCAAACTATAGATAGATCTACTATATGAGCCAGCAATCCCTTGGCTGGGTATATACCCAAAGAAATGGAAGTCATCACGTCAAAGGAAAACATGGACTCCCATGATCTTTGCAGCTCTACTTAACAATAGCCATGATATGGAACCAACCTAAATGTCCATCAGTGGATGACTGGACAAGGAAAATGTGGTGCATATACACAATGGAAAACTACTCAGTCATAAAAATGAATGAAATTCTTCCATTTGCAGCAACATGGATGAGCCTGGAACAAATTACGTTAAGTGAAATAAGCAGAGTTCAGAAGGAAAAATACTGCACATCCTCACTTACAAGTGTGAGCTGAGAGAGAAAGAAGGAAGGAAAGGAAGACTGCAGTGGTGCGCTGGACTTGCAGAGGGAGAGAACAGACCTAGGGCTGCTGGGGGAAGGTCAGTGAAGGGGATACAGGGAAGAACTGCAATTTATGGTGGTGGACAGGCTGATTGGTAGTATTGATCTGATCATGACATCTTGGGTACAGGTGCTGAGAATAAGCTTTGTGCCCCATGAGTAGGTATAATCAATAAAAAAACTTAAAAAATTTTTTTACTACTAGCTTTGTCTGGAAAAACCTAAGCCAAGCACTTCCTAGTTGTGGAAAATGCTGTGGAAACTCTGGCATAAGCAAACACACATATTGTCTGGAGAAACACAACCTCAACCCAGGACTCTTGGATTCCCCAAAATTAAGATGAGTCAATGAAAAAGCAAAATCCAAAATTACAAAGGCCATAAAGAATGAACACAACGAAGAAGAGTTGGCAGCAAACATTAGCAGCAATAACAACAACAAAATAGTAGAATAAGATCTCCAAGGATTTCAGATTAGAATTATCAGACTCAATATAAATACACACACACACACACACACACTCACTCACTCTCTCTCTCTCTAGGTTTAATACTTAAAACAGAACATATAAATTATAAAAAGAAATAAGAGACCATCAAAATCATCAGGGAAGTTCGAAAGAGCACACAAAGAGAACCTGTACAAAGAAGAATATCATCATTATAAAATAAAGTATATTAAGCACCAGATCAGAAACAAGTACAAAGAATTAGTGTATTACGCAGTTTCACTACAATATTTCTAGGTAGAGATTCCTTTTAATTCTAAATCTGATATCCTTCATTAGATCTGAAAAATGTTCAGCTACCTTTTCCTTCAAATAATGTCTTTCTCTAATTCTTTCTGTTCACTTCTCTGCAACTCTAATGAAAGCATTCTTCATTTTATATTTCATATCTTTTAATATCATTTACAGTTCCTTTGGTCTATACTTATTCTAAGTAACTTCTTAGTCCATATTCAAGTTCATTAACTCTTGCAACTTCATAGCATATTTGAAAATTCTCATAATAAAGAGATGGGAAAAAATGTACGCACCAAAAAAAAACTCCACCAGCCATTCATGGTGTATAGGCTACTCCACTCAAACTTCAAGGAAAAGAAAATTCCAGTTTTACACAAATTCTTTCTGAGAATGGTAAAAGAGAGACCACTCTCCAACTCATTTTATTCAGGTTGTATAAGTTCAATACCAAAAGCAGATAAGGAAAGCATGAGACAAAAAATTTCAAGTGACTCATAGAGGCAAAATTCTAAGTAAAATGAACAAAGCAAATCTAACAAGTGAAAACAACAAATAAATCCACTGTGACCTAGTTAAGTTTACCTTAAGAGAGAATGGTTTAAGCTTAGAAAATCTATTAATATAATTCACCACATTAATAGAAAGGAGAAGAAGCATAAGATTTTCTCAACAGATATAAGAAAAGTAGTTGAGTCTATGGCCAAACCACCCTGATCACACCCGATCTCATCTGATCTTGGAAAACTACTTGATTAAATCCAACATCCATTTAAGATAGAAAGTCTCAGCAAATTAGGAATGTAATAGAATTTCTTTCTCCTAATAAAAAGTGGCTACAAGAACCCATGACAATCCTTATAATATATTGGTAAACATTTCAAACATACTGTACATAATCAACAACAAGAAATGATTTCCCACTATTAGTTTCTACTTAAGGTTGTATTGGAAGTAGGGAGTAAAAAAGAAACAAAAGTGCTTTTATTTGTTTTCTATATCATTTCTGACCAAGAATCTACAGACATTAGCAGATGTAATGTGAGTATTTGGCAAGGTTGCAGAATCATAATATAAAAATCATTTTCACTCATATGAATCAGAAACAAACTGAAAATAATACTTTCTTTATCTAATTGTATTTACAAAAACAACCAAAAACATAAAGTAGCTAAAAGTAAATATAACAAAATATGTGCAGGGCCGGCCCGGTGGCGCACTGGAGAGGTGCGCCGCTTGGGAGTGCGGCGGCGCTCCCGCCGAGGGTTCAGATCCCATGTGGAGACCGGTTCCCGCTCACTGGCTGAGCGTGGTATGGGCGCAACACTGAGGGTTGCGATCCCGTTGCCGGTTCCCGGTATGGGCGCGACACCGAGGGTTGTGATCCCACTACCGGTCAGTAAAAAAGACAAAAAGGAAAAAAAAAATATGTGCATAATCTTTCTTTAGAAGAACATTATAAAACTTAATTGAAAGACACTGAAGACCTAAATAAATGCAAAGACATCATGTTCACAGACAGGAACACTCGCTGCCACAAAGATATCACTTCTCCCGAAATGCATCAACAGATTCAATGTAATTCCAATTCCCAAAGGTTTTGGGTTTAAAGAGAAAGCAAAGGGCCAAGAATAAACAAATAATTTTGAAAAATAACAAGTTATGGGGGATCTGCACTACCAAATATCAAAATTACTAAAAATCTATAGAAAATAAGATAGTGTGGTATTGGTGTAGAAATAGACAAGCAGACCAGTGGAAAAGAAGACAGTCCCAGAAACAAGCCCACATATAACATGGGAACTATAGATATATACAGTAGAACTGCAGATTACTGTGGAAGAATAGACTATTAAATAAATGGTGCTAGGTTGACTAGTTATTTACACAGATAAAAACAGTACCAAATGGATCCCTACCTCACACCCTACACAAAAATTAATTTTAGGTAAATAAAGACCTAAATGTGTAAAACATAACATCAAATTTTTATAAAGAAGTTAAAGATTAGATTTATATCCCTATGTAGAAAATAATTTCTTAAAACATAAAAAGCATGTCATAAAGCAAAAGATAACTGAAGTTCATTACATTAAAATTATCAACCTCAAAAAAAGTAAAAGGGCAGGTGACAAATCTGTGGAAGATAAAAAAACATGTTTAAGTGGTAAAAAATGTGTAGAACATATAAAGAACTTTTAGAAATTAATAAGAAAATAATGCAATTTTAAAATGGGTAAGAGAAAAATAGGCAATTCACAAAAGAAATACAATCAGTAAATATATTTATAATCAGGGTAATGCAAAGTATAATCATAGGGGACACCATTTTATATCTATCCAATAGGCAAAATTCGTATTGCTGATGATGTGGAGCAACAGGAATTCATATAAACTGCTTGCTGGTAACACAATCACTTTGGAAAACAATCTGGCAATATTTAACTATGTGAAAGATACTCTGAGAAATTCCATAAAGTTGTAAAACCTTCACACATGTATAGAAGAGGACATGTCCAATACTATTCATTTCTTTTCATATAAAAAAAAAAAAAAAGCTAAAACACTCTTATGTCCTTCAACAGGAAAATAGATAAATTTTGGT